TGTGTGTGTGTGTGTGTGTGTGTGTGTGTGTGTGTGTGTGTGTGTGTGTATGCCATAGAGTGCATGAGGAGGTCAGAGAGCATTTAGAAATCAGTTCTTATTTTCCACTGTGTGTCCCAGGAATTGAACTCAGGTCATCAGGTTTGGCTGCAAGCACCTCTACCTGATAAGCCTTCCCATCCACCTTCTCTCCTTTTTTGTTTGTTTTTTGTTGTTGTTGTTTGTTTGTTTGTTTTTGTTTTTGTTTTTCGAGACAGGGTTTCTCTGTATAACCTTGGCTGTCCTGGAACTCACTCTGTAAACCAGGCTGGCCTCGAACTCAGAAATCCACCTGCCTCTGCCTCCCAAGTGCTGGGATTAAAGGCGGGCACCACCACTGCCTGGCTCTTCTCTCCTTTTTTAGTTTGATCTACCATGGTCTCTATAGTTTGTAGTCTTTTTATAGTTTGAGAGTCTTTTTTTAAAGATTCGTTTTAATCCCTCCCTGTATGTGTGTGTGTGTGTGTGTGTGTGTGTGTGTGTGTGTGTTTTATACATAAGTGCATTGCCTAGGCAGGCCAGAAAGGGGTGCTGGATACCTTGGACCTTGGATGTAGAATTATAAGAGGTTGTGATCCACCCAGTCTGAACACCGGCTTGCGTTCTCTGGAAAAACAGCTAGTGCTCTCAGGAGCAGAGCCATCCCCACCCACTGTCATCCATCCACCCCACTGCTGTGTTGGTGAGATAACCCTGTTTAGAAACGTGCCCATAAAGGTTTGGTGCAGTTTCATGGGCAGCTAACTAACTGCCTTAGCTCTGTTTCATCTCGTGTAGTTTTCCTCCAGCTTCCGATACTTAGTCTGCAGTTAGTTCATGTAGTCCATCCTCCTTTCAGTTAGTGTGAGAAGTACGTGTATCTCCTTATCAGTTAGTGTGAGAAGTACGTGTATCTCCTTACATTTTTTTAAGGGAAAGGGGGTTTGTTTCAGCTCAGCTCCAATTCCCAGTTCATCGTGGTGGGCTCATGAAGGAGCTTCACCTTTGAAATGATTGGCTTTTATTTATGTGTCTCTGTGTGCCATGTGCCCTTGGAGGGCAGAAGAGGGCATTGGAGCCCCTGGAATGGAGTTACAGGTGGCTGTAACTACCTGAAATGGATGCTGGGGGCTGAACTTGAGTCCTCTGCAAGAGCAGCAATTGCTCTTACTCAAGAGCCACCTCTTCTACCCTATTTAATCTTGTTTTGTAGTTACATTTTAAAGTATTTATATAATTTTGAGATCAAGTGGTATGCTGTTTGTGTAACATTGAACTAACATTTGAATATACTTCTAAGTTAAAGCATACTTGGGAATATGCATGCACTGTAGAATAGAGTTAACACATACTAATTCACATGTATAATTTTCCGTGCTGTTAATACTCACAACTTGCCGGGCGGTGGTGGCGCACGCCTTTAATCCCAGCACTTGGGAGGCAGAGGCAGGCGGATTTCTGAGTTCAAGAGTTCGAGGCTAGCCTGGTCTACAGAGTGAGTTCCAGGACAGCCAGGGCTACACAGAGAAACCCTGTCTCGAAAAAACAAAACAAAAACAAAAACAAAAAAAAAAATACTCACAACTTAATCTCACATTGGTTGTGTAGCGTCTAATGCATTGTTATTTATCAGTAAGTGCATTTGTTTGGGGGAGTTATGCCATGCCGTTTGTGTGGAGGTCAGAGAAAAATTTTCAGGAGTCATTTCTCTCCTTCTACCATGTGGCTTCCAGGGATTGAGCTTAGGTCACCAGGCTTGACAGCAGTCACCTGTACCCACTGAGCCATCTCAGATGCCATCAGAGGTTGAACACTGTGAACTGGCTGCTCAGGGACAGTCTTGGGAATTTGTATTAACTCCTTCAGTAGCCTAGACAATAGCATTGTCAAGTGCTGCAGCCCCTGTGTAGATGGTAAGACCCAGGACGTCCAGGCAGACAAAGGTGTTCGTTGACAAGCCTTAGCGCCTCAGTTTGATCCCTGAGAACCACTCAGGAGAAGGACAGAACTGCTTCCTGTGGATTGTACTCTTGGAGTCATTCATGCTTACTTACAGGGCCAAGGTCACATGATACAGTCTTGAGGAGTTAAGCCAGGCTGATTGGAGGAGTCACAACAAGATTGAGGCTGTGACAATTTTATTGAGAGCCCTTGGACTTTTTATACCTTGACTTCCAAGGGAAATTACAGAGAAACACAAACTGACCTAAATGTTTCACTACCTGAGGGAGTGTGTCTGTCTCTCAGAAACTGGAAGGCACATTGTACCCCAGGAACCATGGACTGGAACCACCTGAAAAACTTGTAACACGGGCCTCTTAGTGCAACTAGACCAGGCCAACTCCGTGGTTGCCTGCATCCTCTGACCTTCACTTCTGTGTTACATACTGTATACATCATTGCTTTCTGTGTGCCTGTTCTCAGCTTTCACTGTCAACTTGATACAGCCTCGAGTCATCTGAGAGGGAGTCTCAATTGAGGGATTGCCCAGATCAGACTGGCATGTGGTCATGTCTGTGAGCAGTTGTCGCGGTTGGTAATTGATATAGGAGGCCCCAACTCACTGTGGGCAGTAACATTCCCTGGAGAAATAGTCCTGGGCTACTATATAAAAAGCTAGCTGAGTGTGAGCCTTCAAGTGAGCCAGCACTGTTCCTCCGTGGTTTCTGCTCCAAATCTCTGCTTTAGTCCATGTGCAGGTTTCCCTCACCGGTGGACTGTGCCCTGGAAGTGTAAGCCACGTAAACCATCTTAGCTACTTTTCTGTTGCTGTGAAGAGATACCATGACCAAGGCAACTTGCTGAGGTTAATTGGGAGCGTGTTTACAGTTTCAGAGAGTGAGTCCATGGCCATGGTTTCGGGGAGCATGGTGGCAGGCAGGCAGGCAGGCAGACATGACACTGGAGTAGTAGCTGAGAGTTTACATTTATCCGCAGCATGAAGCAGAGCTCACTGGGACTGGCACAGGCTTTCCAGGTGAAACTGTAAGCAAGTCCCCAAGTGAATGTTCTCCTAGTGACACATCTCCCCCATTTTCATTCAAACCACTGCACATTCTTTCCTCACCCAAGTTGCTTTTGGTCAAAATTATCACAGCAACAGAAATCAAACTCGAACACTATTTGTTGCTTAAAATCACAGTTGCAGTATGGGAGTGCAGACAGTACGTCTGATTACCTAGTCCTGGAACTGATTGAAGTCAGCATTATCCTCTAAGCCTGATATCAATGGAGAAGAAATACCAGCTGCTGCCAGTCTCCTTATCTGTAGTAATGTATGGGATGTTTCAGGCCTTGGTGACCTTCGAGGACGTGGCAGTGCGCTTCACCCAGGACGAGTGGGCTTTGCTGGACCCTTCCCAGAAGAGTCTCTATGGAGATGTGATGCTGGAGACCTGCAGGAGTCTGACTTCTGTAGGTGAGCCTGATACCCTGGCTTTGCTCACTGTGGCTAAGTGCTAATTTGGAATGAAGATGGATGCACCATGGTCAGTCAGGGCTGGCCTCTAAACACCTAATGGTTGCAGTAAACATCTAATGATCTTGTTATACTTTTTCTTTCTTGTTCATTGAATTTTTTTAAATTGTTCTGTATCTGTATTTTAGGCATAAACGGGGAATGCTGGGATTTGGAAGCTTATTTCAGAAGTCTAGAGAGAAATCTGAGAGTCCAGGTGGTAAAGAGAGACTGTGAACTTACAAACAATGGCCCATGTGGAGAAGCAGTTGCCCAGCCAAAGCTTCCTGAATGTCACACCATCAGTCAGTCATCCCTGAAGAGACACACTACATCCAACTCTAAATACAGACCTTGTGACTATCAGAAATACGTAAAGAAATACTATGAATGTAAAATATGTGATAAAGCCTTTACGTGCCTTGGATCCCTTAAAAAACATAAAAAGACCCACGCTGGAGAGAAACCCTACAAATGTAAGTATTGTGAGAAAGCCTTCAGTTACCACTACTGTGTTGAAAGGCACATGCTAACTCACAATGCAGACAGGCATAAATGCAAGGTATGTAGAGAGGCATTCCCTAATGCCATTGCCCTTAGGGAACATAAAACAATTCACTCCGGAGAGATACCTGAGTGTAAGGAATGTGGAAGAATGTTCTGGACTTCCAGTTCCCTAGACATGCATAAAAGGCTTCATACAACAGAAAAACTTTTTGAATGTAAACACTGTGGGAAAGCCTTCATGAGGTACTGTTCTTTTCAGCTGCATAAAAGGACTCACACTGGGGAGAAACCTTATGCGTGTAAGCAATGTGGGAAAACCTTCAGACATTCCAGCCATGTTCAAGCACATAAGCGAATTCACACTGGAGAGAAACCTTACGAATGTATACAGTGCGGGAAGACATTCACCTCTGGCCACTGTGCAAGAAGACATTTGGGGACGCACAGTGGGGCCTGGCCATACAAATGTGAGGTGTGTGGGAAAGCTTATCCCTATGTCTATTCCCTTCGAAACCACAAAAAAAGCCACACCGAAGAAAAACTTTATGAATGTAAACAATGTGGGAAAGCCTTTAAATACGTCTCTTCCTTACGCAACCATGAGACCACTCACACTGGAGAGAAGCCTTATGAATGTAAAGAATGTGGGAAAGCCTTTAGCTGTTCCAGTTACATTCAGAATCACATGAGAACACACAAAAGACAGTCCTATGAGTGTAAGGAGTGTGGTAAGGTGTTCTCGTATTCCAAAAGTCTTCGGAGACACATGACTACACACAGTTAATTGGAGAGGGATAGTTTTAAATATAACTTAAATACTTAGATATATAGAAAAGCTCCACACATTCCAGTTCCCCATTTAAAACAACAAAAAAAAAACACAGTGGAAAACGAGCCTGTGAATGCAGTGCATGTGCTGAAGTCAGTACGTGCCAGTTTGATGTGCCAAAGCCCTCTAAGTTGAAAGAATATCGGGAAGCATTTCAGCTCTGAGGATTTACTGATGACTTCTGCATAGAGAACCTGGGAACACTTTCTGTCCATCCTTGCTACCACTCATGGGAAGACATGCTGAAGAGAGAAAAATCTATGGCTGTTAGCCTCTCCCACTTTACCTTGAATTTTTAGCAGTGTGGGAAAGTCTTAAGTAATGTGCACCTTATTATGTGTGTAAACCGCCACAGACCCAAGCTCTGTAAACGGAAGAAATAGCTGGGCTCTTCCCAAGTTAACAGATGTTTCCAAACCCATGAAGCGAGTTCCCAAGTCTCATGAACCTGTGAAGTATAAAGCCTGCTGATCCCAGTGCTACCTAGAAGCCACCGTGGGAAAATGGCTCTCCTCTGGTTTCTCTCGGTTGCTCACTGCTAAATGTGTCAGGATATTGTGGACTTCTGATTCTTAGTCATAATTCTGTTGGTATTTTTGGGTTTAGTTTTGTTTACTCTTCAATTTCAAATGTGTGTACTGTCTTGATTATATCTACCCTGTCACTGCAGACACTCCTCACTGTCTCCCTTCCGCCTTCGTGTCCATTCCCTACCCCATCCCCTTTTCTTTTTTTGTAATCCATTGTCTGATGCTCAAGGCCAAAGCTTCCATGTGTTGAGGAATGAAACAGCTGTACCCTGTCCAGGGAGGAGCACACTCCCAATCCTCAGATCCTACATCTTTCAGCCCCTTTGTGGGTTTTAAGGAATCATTTCTGGGTGGTTTTAGTATCTATTTACTGGGGGCAGAGTGAGTCAGGCTGAAATACCCATGTTCATCTGAACCTATCAGGTTCCAGTTGCAGTCTCCAATCTAAGTGGGACCATAGCTGTCACCCAGGCTGTGTGTGTATTCAATAGAAATATTTTTTTACTTGTCAACAAAATTTTATTTATTGCTTCTTAACAAAGTTAGATCCTATAAGTAAACTGAAATTATTTCAAGGGCCGGCAAGATGGCTTGGTGGATGAGGGTGCTTGCTGCCTACCCTGATGACTTGTGTTCAAGTCCTAGAAAAGGTGAAAAGGACCAACTCCTTTTTTTTTTTTTTTTTGGTTTTTCGAGACAGGGTTTCTCTGTGTAGCCCGGGCTGTCCTGGAACTCACTCTGTAGACCAGGCTGGCCTCGAACTCAGAAATCCTCCTGCCTCTGCCTCCCAAGTGCTGGGATTAAAGGCATGCGCCACCACCGCCCGGCCCAAGGACCAACTCCTTTAAGTTGCCTTCTGACCTCCACACATCCCATGGCACGTGTGTATACAATAAGTGTAAAATAAAAATATAGTTCAAATATGCATACATTTAATTATAACTTTAAGTACTTTTGTAATTAATGGACCAATAAAAAATGACTTTGAAAGTTGTCCAGTTTGTAGAGACTCTTCTGTATTGTATGGAAGCATCATCTGTCCAAAAAAATTAAAAATTGTTGGCCTATTAGCTTAGGCAAAAAAATAGGTGGGAGTTCTGGCATGGAGAATAGATTCTGGGATAGAGTCAGGTGCAGGAGGAGATACTGGACCCAGTCACATGAACTGAGGAGCAGAGCTAGCCATGTGGCAGGACTTAAAATACAGTAAACGGGTTAATTAAGCTACAGCTAGTCGGGAACAACCCAAGCTTATAGCCTAGGCAATCACTCACCAAAGTTATTGTTGTGGGAACCTGGGCATGGGTGGAAAAGCCTGAAGTTGCACTAGATTTTGTCACTGACTAGTTATGGCTGTGCTTTATCATTTTAATATATTCCGTGTTTGTTTTCTAATAAATTACACTTTTTCAGCACAAAGTGTACTCACTCATTCTAATATAGTATTGTTCTGTATGCCTGGTATGTTTGTTACAATGGGGGAGGGTGTGTGTGTGTGCCAGAAGAGAGCATTGCATCCCTTCGACCTGAACTTACAGGTGGCCGTATGCCTCCTGACATGGGTGCTGGAAACCAAAGGTGGGCGCTGTGTAAGAGCTAGTGCTGGGCCCTTTCTTCAGCCCCATTGGCATCCATGTCTGGGGAATCCTTTCACTTAGCTATAATGGTGCCTCAGATTCATATCCCTGGTTCCAACACTGCCACTGTGTGGAGCTCTGTTTGCTATGGATGTTGCTTTGAAAATTGACTTTCCCTGGGGAGTCATTCAATAGTTTAGTGACCTTGGCTTTAGTTCCCCAGTACTCCCTCCTTCCCATCCTCACTTGGAAGCAGACTTTTATGCTATCCCCCAATATTCCCCAATAAGTCTCAAGTTCTATTTCGAGGTGTGATTTTTGCAGGAAGTGTGGGAATAAATGTTGGGTCATGTTGGGCAGTTGCCAGTCCCTGCATCACTGGGATGCCCAGAGAGAAAGGGGTGCTGGGTAGAAGAGAGGACTTGGTGGGGAGCAGCCTTCTTTCTGGGGTGGTTTGGATAGTTATGGCCTCCATAGAGTCATGTGTTTGAATATTTGCCCCCTAGGGAGCGGCACTATTAGGAGGTGCAGCCTTGTTCTTCAGCTGAATCAAGTCCTCCAGACAGAGGCAACATATTTTTTAACCTTCCAGAATAGGCCAAGGTTCTTTGTCCCCACTTCCTGACCTGGGCTATGACCATCTCCTGCACCAGGAGAAGGCACTCCGTAAAGGCTCTAAGACACCCCACCTATCTTTCAGATTAGGAAAAAAGGGTTTTTTTTTTTCCAGAAAAGGAAAAAAAAAAATGCCCTCCCTTAGGACAAGAGCTAGAACCCAAGTAGGAGACAACTTTATTCAGGAGCCAGCAAGATGGCTCGCTGGTAAAGGTGCTTGCTGCCAAGAGAGTTCAATATCTGAACACGAGCACACACACACACAAAGTTAATTTAAGAAAAATTATAAACAAAAGAAAATATGTTCATCCACAGTGGAATACTGAATATCCAGACGCCTTTAGGGTAACACTAGTGGTCAGTGTTGGAGTCACCCTGAATGGATTCCCTGAAGCTGTGGAGAGATAGACCGGTTCCTGTCATCATGGCGCAGTAGAACCAGAAAGATTTCATTCTTCCAGCATGTCTGTTTCCCTGATGGCAGGGTGACATACACTTTTTAAATCTTTCCTTTATTTCTGATAATTTCATACATGTACACAGTGAAATGATGGAACTGAGCCCTCTCTCCCATTTCCTCCCTTCCACTCGCCCCATATTCCTGTAACACCTCCCCTTCCCAACGTTCCCTCTCTCCTTCTTGTCAGAAGCCCACCAAGTTCAGCTAGTGCTCCCTGTATATGCATGGGTATGTTGACATGCACTGGATCATGAGAACAGCTACTGTGCATTCACAGTCACCATGGCCATGCCCGGTCTAAAGGGCAGCGTTCCACAGCTCTCTTCTCCACCCTCTGGATCTTTCATTTTGTATCCTTTTCTGAAATGTCCTGAGCCCTGGAGGTGGGAGGCTTACTCCAGATGGATGTCCTGTTTAGGGAGAGCACTCAGTCTTAGGCTCAGCACTTGGACCAGTTACCCATCTCTTTATTGACTGACTACTTGCTGCAAAAAGTGGCTTCTAGGTCCAAGACTGAGAGCAGCCCAGACAGCATGGGCTGAGCAGCAAGCCACACAACAGCCATCATGGCTGGAGGGGCGGGTACAGGGACATGGGCATCGTAGATCTGGCTACAACTAGGAACAGAACAAAAATGAAGAAAGCAGGTGGGCCCCTGTCTCATGGCGCTTGTGTCTTGATTAGAGGAAGCCAACTAGGAAGTAAACATCAGCTGAGTAAACAAACATGCAATTCGCAAAATGGATTTTAGTGACTGGGGCTAGGGCTCAGTTGGTAGAGTGCTTGTAGCTCAGTTGGTAGAGTGCTTGTGGCTCAGTGGGTAGAGTGCTCACCTAGCATGCAGAAAGCCCTAGGTTCAGTCTCCAGCACTGCATGGTGAATCATACTTGTCATCCCAGCCATTAGGAGGTAGAGACAGGGATATTGGGACTTCAGGGTCATCCTAGGCTATAAAATTGGGCTAGCCTAGGATATATGAGACTGCCTTCAAAGAGCTGAGGGTACAAAATGCCGTGAAGTGGAAACAGCAAATGGAAAGGTCCTGAGGCTAGATGAGAATGAGTCTGTTGGAAGGCAAGAAAGAGGCAGGTCTGGGGAGAGAGCATGGAGATGCACCCAGGACTCACGGGGAAACTAGCCGGGCTTGCTCAGACACACCTGTCATCCCAGCTACATCCATCCCTGCACAGGAAAAAACTAACAAATCCCTAGGGCTCAGTTAATCTAGAACTTGGGGGCACAGCTTGTGTCCCAAGAAGCCAAGTTCAGCCACCTGTCCTCAGTAAGCCAATTAGAAAATTAAATTATCTGTAAAAACAGAAAGGGAGATTTAGTCAATGTGGCTGCATTGGGAAGAGGAGCAAAGAGATCCAGCGACTTCCCCAAGTCCATTCTGGAGTGGAGTGGACAGGGGACAGAGTGTGCACTTAAGCAGTCCTGGGCAAGGTGAGGTGGCAAAAGTTTGTGGGAATAGCCAACCAATATCCGATTTGATTTCAGGCCCACCCCATAAGACTGAACCCATCCCAACATGGCTTGAATGACCAGACAGCCCGGGCACCTAGGGCAAAAACAAATACTACCATTCTGCAAAAGGAATGTAGCAATAAAATGACTCCTAATGACATTCTGAGAGACGCTTCCCCCTGCAGCAGATGGGAAAAAGTACAAAGACCCACAGCCAGACATATAGCGTGTTCTTTGGAACACCTAGGTACCCCTTGGAGTACTCAGCTCTAAATAGGGTGTTTCCAACAAGTCCCTCCCCTCAGAGCTCACAGGACCCTGCAGAAGAGGAGACAGGAAAAGTATAAGAACCAGAGGGAATGGAGGACAGCAAAGAGATCAGGCCCTCTAAGCACAGCAGGACTGACAGACATATGGACTCCCAGAGACTGGGGCAGCATGCACAGCCTGCAGGGCTCTGCACCAGTTGGGGTCCAAGAGCTGAGAGAAGAAGTGGACACATGCCCCCATCCCTAACCCAGAAGCTCTTCTCCAATTGATAGTCACTTGCAAATGGAAACTTAGTTTTCTCCAAGGGCGCCTCACTTGGGAAACAAACTACTCCATGGATAGGCTGCGTGCCCAGCAGT